CGCTAATTAAGCCGCGGTCGCCCTGCCGAACACGCCGAGCGCCATGCGTTCTCCTCTCCTTTGCATCTCCTTTGCATCCCGCACCGGCAGCCCCGGGGTGCGCCTTTATGGCGCTAAAATTCGGCGCTAAACGCTTCCGCGGTAAATCTTCGCGCCAAGTATGCGAGACGGCAACCTACCGTCGATCGCGGATAAACCAGTTTCACGTACCGAGACGGAGCTCCTTCCGCGAGCTTCGGCTCCGAGCTGCTGGTATTTATTTCGCTTGGCGAAATTGTCCGTCGATTACGCATAATAGGATAGAAACTAAATAGTAGTAATTCTCGATTTGTTCGTAACATTCTATAACCTTTTTGAGATTCTTTTGAGAGACAACGATATCTCCTGCAGATGAGACTTTTCTTAAAACCTCTGGAAACGTACAATTTTGGCAACTGGTTATCTAAATTGTACCATAGTTTCCTAAAGCGTATTCTTTTTTACCACACTGATGTGATTCGTTTAGAAACTGTGAAGGGATAAACTAAAATACGATTTAAATAAATAAAATAAATAAAATATAAACAATTTGAACAAGGAAACATTCTAATAAGTAATTCTAATAAATAATTAAATTAAATTAATACTTGTTTAATTCAGATCACAGTTTGTACGAAAAATTAAAAAAACATTTTTAATTAAAAAAAGTAAACATTAAAATTAGAAAAATACAAAATTTTTGTTTTCAGAAACTGAATTAAGAAATCAACTAAGATCACAGCTCGTGTGAAACCTAAAAAACCTTTTTAATTACAATTAAATATTAAAATTAAATATTTAAATTACTTATTATACAAGATAATTATTAAAATTGTATTCATTTTTATATAAAGTTTATTTTATATGAAAAAGTTAATAATTTTTTGATCACGTACCTAAAAATTGCAGAATTTATCTGTTATCTCCTCGAAATCAAAATTACAGAGATAAAATATTTTCGTCTCTATAGACTTAATTATAAGCAGTAAATGGCCACAAAACAAAAATCTGTTTTTTTAATTAAAATAAATTTAATTAAATATTATAATAATTATAATAATTAAATTTTAATTAAAATAAATAAAATTATTTTAATTAAAATAAAAAGTAGATATAGATAAAATAAATATAAAAAAAATAAATTACTTTCTATAGACTTCAAAAACAATAGTCACATATGCAGTTTTTTTTGAAAATTCCGAAATTGTAGTGGTACAATACAAGCAATCCATAGATGTGGCACGATTTAAGAGACTATAGTTGTGTTTTTCAAATTATGGCAGTTAAATGTACACAGAGTAAGGTTATGTTGAAATTATATACGCAAATATGTCAATTTTAATGTAATGTAAAAATGACGAGCAGATGCATTAATGCACCTTTTGAAACTTTTGAAATGCTTCGTATAAAATTGAGTAAAATTTACTCCTAAAACTAAAAAAAGTCTTTACTTGTTTTTCTTTTAACAAGACGCTTTTGTTAAAGCTTCTATGGCGATAAATGATCCTCGCATAAAATGCAGATGACGCTAAGCCTGCGGGTTCTATGAAATATAAAGATGGCACAATTTTAGAAGCCGGTCGAAAGCAATATCGGCGACTTTCCCCTAATACCCGGCAGTGCGGCAATAACCTCTACAAGATCCGCGAACATGAACACGCTGATTCGCTGCGAGGAAGAAGTGAGCGAGAAGGGCGGGAAGGGGTGAGAAGGAAATAGAAGGAGCGAGTGGGAGAGAGGATGGGAAGGAGGAGGGAAGGAGGGAGTACGAAGGACCATGATTTTTGCCGGCATTTTTGCCTCCGTGGCAACTTTGTTATTGATGACCGCGATGTTGAGTGCGCAGAATAAAGAAGGTAGGCGTTTCCACCCTCGGTTTCGCCTCGAATCCCGCTCAACGATCTCTGCGCGGCGAAGCGCTAAGCTGCGCTCACTCGCTCGCGCGCGCGCGCGCGCCCGCACGTTTTTCACTTTACGAGGCTGTTGCGCGCACAGCCTCGATGCTGGAGAAAGGGGGGAGAGAGAGAGAGAGAGAGAGAGGGAGAGAGAAAGAGAGCGAGGGAGTACAGTCATTCGCCGTAGCGTATACGGGCCGTCTTGTAAAAGTCAATATTTATGAGGGTGCTAACCACCGTCATCGCTCATTCCGACTCGTTAACCGGCTCCGCCGGCGCGGCTTTGTGTTTACATCCGAAGGACAGGCATCCTCTTTATTGTCAGCCCTAAGAAAACACGTCCACCGCCGCTGACGTTGCAGCAGCAACGGCAGCATCCTGCGCCCGCGTTGCCCGCGCTGTGAATGGCGAACGTGCCTGGCCTCCGGCTTATCAATGCGCCCGCCTCCTCGAGATAGCGCGCGCGAGTTCCGCGACGATGGCGATTTCGACATTGTCCGGCTAAGTATAAATAGTTTAATTGTTGGAAGATTTTGTTCGTCAGGGAAGACGAGAAGAGAAGAAGCGCGTGCGACACGCCGGCTCGCTCCGGCTGCGAATTTGGTCCGAAGGATTGCGACAGGCGCACTTATTCGGTTGTCCGTTATTTAGTAAATCGCGCGCACGCTCTCGAAGAGGTTGCAGCGGCGTGCGCTACTATAATTGCGACACACGACGCGGCGGAGAAAGGCAAGGTGCTTCGCAGAAGCAACAGGTGTGTAGCAAGGTAAGTCGGTTCAGGTGCCGCCATCTCTCACCGAGTTGCTCAACGTGTTGTCTTTCGCGAACTGGGGTCTAGCATGTGTCGATAAAACGAGCCGCGCGGGCCTCAGTGAAGTACAACGTATGTTGCGGGACCCGCGCCTTGCTCGTTTTTTACATTCCACCAATTTTCTATATCAGCAGTTAAAAAAAGAAAATTTTCTTTTCTTGGTACGTTTCATTAAGAAATCCATCTCCTATAACCTTGACCTTGATTTATAAGGGTCACTCTTCTCGGTGATCTATAGGTTTTAGCCGTCGCCCATTATTTATTAAAAAATTGTTAACAAAGGAAATGTTGATAGAACATAGTTTTCTGACACCGTATATATTTAAAAAGGAAACTCGTAATACGTACTACAAATATATAAATATTCTATTACGTAACTTCTTTAAGAGATTTCACCGTTTATTGAAAAGTTATTAGCAAAAACGTTTCACAAAGGGAACATATATTTTCAACACTATATAGATAGTTAGGCTAGATTGAGTTAGACTGTGGATATTTTAGTGTTACGAAATCTAACCTAATCTAACCATCTATACGATGCCAAAAACGTTTTATTTATGAAACAGTTTTGTATGTATATTTTTTGTATATATAACTTTTTAATAAATATTGGACGACAGGCAAGACTTTTCTAATACTCTGCAAAGAGACATTTTTTTATATATAATACGAACTACGTATATTATGTTTAAATGTACGTAGTATCGAAAAACTACGTCTTATTCGTGAATCATCTTTCGCTAGTAACTTTTTAATAAACAACAAGCAATGGCTAAAACTTTTTGAAAGTTACTTAGTAGAGTGATACTAGGAGTGTGATTTAGTATTGAGAATTTTGTCTCAAAAACTGATTTACTTAAACAAGATAATGAACAAATATTTTAATCAAAATATTTTCTTTCGTTTCCTACAACTTTTTCCCATCTTTCTGGCAAGAGATGGATTTCGCGACGTGGAAAAGATTCTTCTTTAGAGTCGATCCAATTTTCAATAAATTTTTGCGCTCGTTCGAAGTTATGAAAATGTGTATTCTCTAGGACATGTTGCTCGATCGGAACAAATGATAATCGGATGGAGCATGTCTGGAAAATACGCGGGGTACTGTAAGACTTCCCATTCCAGCTCTAATAGCGTTTGCTTCACTGATAATGCAACATGAGGTCAAGCGTTGTTGTGAGGAAGAATCACTTTGCGTCGTTTACTCGTAATTGGTGATCGTTTTTTATCCAACGTTCGCTTCAATTTGTATAATTGTTGCCGATAACAATCAGCGGTGACAATTTCATTCAGATTTAGATTTTCAGAATAGATTTACATAGTACACAACACTTTCTTGATCCCACTAAATGCACAGCAATACTTTTGAATCGTGAATTTTGCACCTCGAAGTGGATGTTGCTGGTTGACCTGGCTCAAGCCATGATTTTTTCGTTTCATTTTCGGAATTGTCGAAATGGATCCATTTTTCATAACAATAACAATTCGACACAAGAAACTTTTCATTTTTTGTCTGGCGATCAACGAAATGCAAATATTCAACCGGCAGGTTCGCAATGGCTTTTCTGATAATTGATGTAGAACCCATTTTCCTTCTTTGTAAATCTTTCCCACATCATGTGTGAACGTTTGGTAACTTTTGTACGATCAACATTTAATACTCTGGCAAGTTCTGAAATGGATTGTGCTGGATTCTCGTCCAATAATATTTGCAAATCTACATTTTCAAGCTTTGCTGCTTGTCCTGAACGATCTTTATCGTTAAAATTGAAATCATCACTTTTGAATCTCCTAAACCAATATTCACGTGTCTTAATTGATGGAGCAACATTACCACAAGTTTCTATCAAAATTTTATGACCTTTAGCCGCTGTTTTCTTGCGACAAAGAAACAAAAGTAACGTATATCGAAAATGCTCTTTAGGATGCTCCATTTTTAATATGGTATTAACACAATTTTTACTGAGTCTATTTTTAGTAAACGACTAAATATCATCGATTAATATTAAAGCATTAAGCTGTATTAAACAATAGCTGTGATTGGAATGTCTTCGACAAAACTGACATTAGTGCCATCTCTTGCAAAACCTTCGAAACTAAATTACATTCCTAATAATATAAGTTATGGTCAAGATCATAGAAGGCGGGCATGCATATCTGAAAGGTTTGCCCTTTTCTCTTTTCACCGAAAGAACCTCGCGGCGCATGACGTCTTGAACTCAATAGAGTGTGGAGTAATTTGGAGAGTTTGATATCGTATCGTTTTATTGTTGACTCACCCTCTGGCAGAGCTCTGCGCTGATTCTTGACAGGTCCGCGAAGGGCTGAAAAATGACGTCATGGAACTCGGGGTAGCTCCGTGCCAAAGGCCGCGCGTATAATTCTTTGGCGCTGCACAGCGTCTCGTGATACTCTTCCTCCGCGTGCAACAGCTTCTCCGTGGCCCGGTATCTGCGGTCTGTGTCTGCAAAACAAAAATCCAGTTTCGAACTGAGACGACAGCGGACAAAACTGTTTTCGTCGCGGGCGAAGCTCCGAGTAAAAAGAAGTCAACGCTGTCTCCCGTAAGCTTCAATCAATCAAGGCTTCGATCAATTGCAAGTTACATACTTGAGTGAGTCTTATATCGATAAAATTGTTTTTATTGAATCTTTGTCAACGTTTATCCGGATTTTTATCAATTGCTCTTCCGATTCAAGTAACTAAATTAATATTAAATTATCAAAAAATTGTAGCTGGCTCTTATGGGCTTATAATAAAAAAAACCGGTAAAAACTCACGTTATACAGGGTGTTTAAAAAAAGAGTTCAAGATTTTAAGAACAGACAGAACTCGCTACAAAATACAATACAAGAAGAAAGTTTAATAGGCATTTTATATACTCTGATATAATTCGTCTGTTATTTATCGGTGAAGAATACACCATGCTCTTAAGAAATTCCCATAAGAAGGTCCAGGAGATTTGAATCAGGAGAGCAAGGGAGTCGTGAGATTGATTCAAACCATCTTTCACCGAAGGGCGATATTTAAATGTTAGACGAATAACATTAGAAAATACAAAATGCCTATCAAATAGTTGAAACAAAGCCAGAAATTTTTGACAGTTCGCAATTCCGTGGTATAAAGATGTGAAGCGATTGAAGGAATAGGAGGACAGCAGGTAGAAAATCTTCCGTAAACCTTATAAGCACCAGAAGCGAGTTGGTCACTTACTTGAATTAAAATAAATAATTATTCGCAACTCCGACAATATTAATTCGTCGACTCATGTTTATTAGGACTTTTCTCCTCCATCTCGTGAATACTGCCTGCCCTTAACCTTTAGAGGACCGTAGTTGTTTTCTTCGATTTTTTTATTTTAAGTATTAGAACTTTATTATTAACATCATTGGGTTAAATGACAAAAAAGAGGACGCCACTCTCGCGCCAATATATTGGCTTCCGGTCCGGAAAAGAATCAAGATCCAGAATGATCCTTTTTTTTTTAGTTTTTCAACTTAATGTTATTAGATATTATTAGAATAATTGTTTAACATCATTTTAGAGAAAAAATTTGACAAATAACATGTATAAAAATTTTTATACCGCAATTTATGAAGTAAAAGGCAATAGTAAGTAAAATGCATCATATGTATTTACATACATCAATTTATTTCGCAATAAATGCATATTTTGTCGAAAATATAAAAAAAGTAATTGAAAAAATAAGAGGACTAATGCTTTTACAATACATTTAATAATTTTTCTTGATATGGTACAGTTTGAAGCACGGTACAACGCAAAGAGGTGCATCGCATTCACCGCAAATGAATAACGTTCTTTTTTGAGACGAATTTTTTGAATAAACAACACAGTGTCTTGTGTTTGTCAATATTGATGGAAAGTGATGAGTAGCCAAAGTGGCCGACAGTCATATCACACACAGAAAGCGTTTGCCCGATCCTGTTTACAAATCGAAACTGGTACAATACAAAGTATAACGTGTAAGCGAATATGAAATATAAAAGTAAAATATTAATAAATTAAAATATCCTATAATAGTAAGTTGAAACCTGATAAATTGGTTTTCGGGCCTTCAAAGGCAAAAGTAGTTAAAAGCCAATAAATTGGTTTCCGGTCCTCCAAAGATTAACCCTTACTGTACACACCTCCGAATAATTTAATATGATATACAGTTGGACCCAACGATTGAAACTGCCACCACGCTTATTCTATTGAATATTTTGATTCGAAAAAAATTGATGGATGTTTTTGAAATCTTCTAAAATAAGAGGCGACAGCATTTCTGAATAATTTTAATACGAACATAATGAAAAAAATCCGTAAAGGAAAAAAAAACGCGAGAAATGACATTTTTACAAAAAAAAATCATATCTCATATAATTTTTGGTATTTTTAAATAATTTCTTCGGGATTGTATTCCTCAAATACTATATTTTCAAGAAAAAATTGGTTCGGATGCGTGCGCTTAAAAGAAGGTATTTATTCGGAAATATTCGTTGAATACACAGGGGATCCAATAGACCCTTCTCGCTCCGACACCGTGTTCTTTGAAGCACTGCCCAAAGCAAACTGACGCCGAATGAGCAACGCCAATGAGTCCACTTCTAGTAGATACCTCAAACAACAGGTGGATGGTGCCGTAAGTTCAAAGTTTTAAATAGCTTCTTGGCGAATATTCGACTTGAATTTTGTTGGGGTCCACTGAACCTCAGGTATACAATAAGGGTTAAGGTCTTGAACTTTTTTTCCTTAAACATGCTGTAGATCGCTAAAATTGAGATTGAATTCCGCAAGGCGTGGAGATAAGGAAAAATCCAATTACCTCCTATCGCGTCGTACTGCCTCGCAGAGTCCTCGATGAGCAAGACCTCACCGTGCAGGAGGGCCACGTCGGCCGCGGGGTCGACCTCGGCCCTCGAACCGGCGAGCAGCAGCCGTGGTCTGCACACTCGGAACTTCAGCAGCACCGGCGCGACCACAGAAGAGATAGCGCCGGGCGACGAAGCCGATAACTGCAACAGAGGAGAAAACAAGCGTGTTACGTCGACTGAGGTGAATCGAGTCGAGTCGCAGCCTATAACTTCGGCTAATCCCGAAATCTCGGCCGTCACGCTGAGAGATGCGAAAAACAGCGGGCAATTAAAGCGGCCGCCCGCGAGCGATGTTTACGTGCCCCAACAATGTGAAGGGGGGTGATCGTACAATAAACATCGGAGAGTTTTTACACGGCAAGACTCGTGGCGTCGACCTATCGGGAGCCCCTCGAGTCGTCCCTCCGAAAGACTACATGGCCGACGCGATTACCACAGCTGGCCCGACTGCCCCGCGCTGGCCGTCGCATATGAATATGTATAATACGATAATTGCTCGACCGTAATTCGCGCGAGCTTCCCAGAAATTCCGGCATACAGGCGAAGCGCCTTCTTGCGCGGTAAATCCGCGTTTTAACGCACCGGAGGCAGGGGGAGACCCACTCACTTGACCCTTTGTGCGGCACATCTTTTTTATCTTTAATCTTCTGTGAAATCTTGCATTTCTGTGTTTCTTGGGCCGCTGATTATAAATCCAAATGTTTTTAAATTACTTATAGTTTGTTATTAGTTAAAATTTGTTGTATTGTCAAATATTTATTTTTTAACACCTTTTATAATCTTAATCTTATTCTGTGAACTTTGAGAGTCATAATCGTTCTCACAAACGTCTATATTTTCATCACACTTGGTATTTCCGACAAATTACTCGTAAATATTTCTGCAATATCATTAACTACCTTGTCACTATTCTATTTCAACGATTTAGAAAATTAATTCGTATTACAAACGACCAAAAACCCTGTCAACTGCAATTAAAATAATGCAAATGGCAAATTTGAGCCTACACACAATATTAATGTGAAACAATAAAAGTGCAGAAATTTATTTCGATAAAAAAAACTTGTCTAGTACATAAAGCACATGTCAAACGGTTTCGGCCTTGTATTTAGCTCTCATCATTGATTAAGAGTATGGCTGTTATGCGAATCAACCCATCGCCATCTCTGCGAACTTTTCAGCTTGATGAAAATATACCAAATTCACGTCCTCGATAACGCACTGCACCTCCTTAATCCATGAAATTTACAGATATGGATTAATAATGGATAGTGAATTCTATGTATATGAGGTCTAATAGTTAATTCTTTCCGATCTTCGACAATTTTCAATCTCCATTTGAAATTCAATAGAAAATTCAAGATTAATCAATGAAATATTCTCTGTTGTTATCGATGACCTTAGAGGCAGTTGCTGAATCGTATCACGATAGAAACTTGGTAGCTTTCAGGCTGTAAAGTAATCGATGAGGTACTTCGTCAACTGTCGAAAAATGAGTATCAGACAGTGCGTGTTGCATCGACTAAAACAAGTGAAAATCTAATGGCCTCGAGAATATACCGTGTGGGAGAACTTTCCAGTCCAAGTGTAAGATAGTTTCCCTTGTGCTGCGTGCGGTTTAGCATTGTCATGCAACAGGATGACTTTACGGTTGCCTTGTCCAGTAAATAGTCTTTTCTCTCAATTACATCGCTCAAACGTATCAATTGCTCTTGGTAAATCTTTGCTTTAATGGTTTTACTCGGTTCCAAGAATTCATAATACAGCACATCCTTCTGGTCCCACCATGTACAGAGAAGAACTTTTTTTCGAAACGTTTAAGTTTTACCGTCGATGTTCTCAGTAGACCAATGTCTACTCATGATTTTTTGCGTTTAAAATTTTTATATATACTAGAACATTACAAGCGCGCGCTACGCGCGCGCCATTTAGCTTATTATTCTCTCTCATGCTCTCTCTCTCACACTCTCCTTCTCTCTTTCACACACTCTCTCTCTCTCTCTCTCTTTCTCTCACACTCTGACTCTATTTCTCTCCCCCCTCTCCCCCCTCCTTCCCCCCTCTCTCTCCTTCCATCTCTCTCTCTCTCTCTCTCTCTCTCTCTCTCTCTCTCTCTCTCTCCTCCCCCCTCTCTTTTTTTCTCTCTCACTCTCTTTCTTAACGCGACATCGAGACGGCCAATCAAAATCGCGGAAAAAAGGTTTGAATACTTCGATATGCCTTCGATGCATTCGAGATTTTAATCACATGCCTTTTTTAGGAGAAGAATCCATTTTTCGACATCAGTTACGATTTTGTGCAAAAAATATTTTTCTTGTTGCCTGGCGAGCAGGATAACGCACGTAGTTAATCAACAAATTTTGCTGTCAATTGTTAGCTCGTGTGGAATTCACTTCCCGTCTTTCTGTATCTTTCCCATTTGATGTAAATGATCACAAATAGCTTTCTGGCTTACTCTCAGCTTTTCCGCAAATTCTTGTTATGTTTGTGCCGTATTTTCAATCAGTAGATTTTGCACCCCTCGGCCTCAAATTTTTTTAGCCGACCGAGGTGTGGTTGGTTGTGAAGATCAAAATCACCACTTGAAAAACGTTCCAGTCAGTTTCGGCACATGCGATTGGTCACAGTATTTTCACCATAAGCAGCACAAATCATTTTGGCAGGAGCATTTTTGTTTAAATGAAATGCAGAATGCATCGCATATCGAATATGTTCTTTGTTGATAACCACCGTGAACACTGCTAATTATTTGAGGTTATGCGCATCAAACGCTAAATCATATGTCATTTCAAAAAGTTAAATGTCAATACTTGAAAATCGCAAAAGAGTGGAAGAATATTTCAATTTCAAATTTTACTCAGAGCTATGTAAATTTCATCGGAAAAAATTAATCACTAGACCTAATATATTAACTTCTTAGCTGTTAATGATAGAAATTTTCGCGGAAAGAAAATGGCCCAAACTGTTGATGATGGGAACATCCGTCCATTCGACAAAAAAACAGAGCAACTGGAACAGGACACTCTATTTTTATGTTTTCAGGTTAGCTGAATACAGATCCGATGTGAAAATTGCGAAATTCAAAATGGCAAATTTAATATGGAGGAGCAAAAATTCAACAAATCGTTCGGCTCAATTTTGACTTTAGATTTGAATTCAACGATCCTGGAAACATAAAAAAGATATATATATGTATCGCTTTTTCCAACTTTATTTTTTCATAAATAATTAGAAATGAACAATCGGATGTAAAAACCATGGGAAACATGTACTGTAAATATAGTGGCCTACTCCAATTGTTTTGTTGTGTTTCTTTTCTTTTTGGAATGCGCGGATATTTCCATCATCGACAGTTTGGGCCACTTTTCTGCCCGCGGATATTTCCGTCATTAACCACTTCATTGGAACTGAGAAACAGCATCAACCTAAAATGGCAACATATAAATCACGTTTGATCTTTATAAACGTCGGTACTAAGATGTTTTTCGGGTTGTTGAATACGAATTTGAGGTTAAAATATATAAATTCAAAATGACCGCCAAAAAATGTATCTGATTTTTCATGAAATTCGATATGTAAGAGTTTTCCAAGTTGCTGAATATGAATTTCAAGATTCAAAATGGCGGATATGGACCAATATGGTAGGAAAAAAAAAGGAAATTGTGATTATTATGAAACTCGATATCTAGAGATTTTTCAGGTTGCTAAAAACGAATTTGAATTTAAAACTTAAAAATTTAAGACAATATATGTAATACAGCGACTAGATTTTTTTTAGAAATTTAATAAAGAAATATTTTAGATCCGCCATTTTGAATTGTCATATTTTGGTCTCAAATTCTTATTCATTCACCTGAAAAACTTCCAGATACCGAGTTTCATAATAATCAGATAGATTTTTATTTTTTCGGTCCGCCATTTTAGATCCACCATTTTAAATTGCCATATTTTGACCTCAAATTCTTATTCAGTAATCTTAAGGACCTAAGGACCTATCAATTTTTACGAAAATCAGACGGAGTCAATAAAAAAATAAACGATGTGCGCACTAATGCGTCAATACCATTTATGACACGTCTTTATTTTGACGCAAAAGTGCGTCAATGCCAACGAAACAGTTAATAGCTAAGGAATTAAAATCCCTAATACAACCGCAAGGGAACACTTTGGGGTTTCCGCGCTGATACTACGCGCTCAGTGCCGCTCGAATAACTTCAAGCTTGGTACGAACATCTGTGCTGTCGAAACGACAAACGCATGACGTTGCGGCGTTCCCTTCGTTGTCGTAATTAAACGGCCGCACCCGAATTAGACGCTTCGTTGTCTTAACACATTGGTGAAGGGGCCCCGAAATTTTCTGTGGTACAGTGGCCATCCGTTGTTGACCGGCCCCGGAAACTTCCGTTTTTCCGCTCGTTGGACCGAGGCTGCCTTAAGGCACTATTTATCTGAGACTGTCAAATGCTATTTGCCCTTTGAAATGCGGCATTGACTACAAGGTTTGAATATACGTCACTGACGATCTTCTTTCGTTCCTGGCTTTGTTTTCTCCTTGAGATATAAGGCCTGTTCGTGTGTTGTCTACACTGCTGAACTGGTGCAACAAGTTGAAGTGAGAAAACCTACGTTTGTCTCACTTTAACTTGATGCACCAGTTCAGCAATGCAGACAAAACGAACAGGCCTATACTCTATCACGGCGGCAGTGTCTGCCAAAAATGTCCACAGGGTCCACAGGGATACTCAGGGCTTTAAATATCCGGTCAGCAACGTGTTAATCGACACCGCGAAAAACGGGAAGCCAATCGCGCATTACCGTTGCTCGTTACCCGCAGCACCAACCTCTGGGCGTCAGTCCGCGACCTTTATGGGCGGATTCGCCGGCGGTCGCGTTTATGGGCGATTATCGCTCTGCCTAGCCCCGGCGAGACGCTCGTCCCTTCGAACAATGCGATTTAATCATACCTCGCAACGATACAGAGTATACTTTACGCCGACCTGTGCGATTCTAATCGCAGTTTACAGCGCCGTGTGTACGCGATAGTATCCGTGCCACACACAGGCGGACTTACCCCTCTTCCACGTTCGAATAATCGTCGGGGCTACTGCCGCGACGCGCGGGGGGCGGCGGGGGAGGGGGGG